AATCGTTTCAACCATTCCACCGCCTTTACACCTCACACTGCCAGCCTTCGTACTGTATCACTGTGACTCCTACCGCATTGACTTTTCACAATCCAGAATCCTACCGCGTCCTCTTCCCTCATTCCGCCCAAACGCACATTGCCTTCTCTCCGTCGGACACCCTCGACTCCCGTTGAAACCCCTTGCCGACTTGAAGTAAGCCCGCTCTCCATCCTCGTTTCCACACTTTCCGCATGCCTCAACAGCTTTTGTCACAGACTCTAAAAACCACAATGACTCCCATCTCACCGAAGTTTCTCGATCTCATTGTCTCTGTCCTCCTCCTCCTCCTCCTCCTCCCCCTCCTCCTCATATTCATATCCCCACACAGCACAGCTGCCGCCCCGCGCCAACTGCACATGCCCCGGAGACTTGCCATTGGCGATGGCTGGGCCCTGTCGTCGGCGCCACCGCCACAATCGTTCGCGTTCGTCGCCGTACGTCCCCTGCTCTTGTTGTTGAAGTTCCATGCCCCGCTGTTTCTGCGTCTTCAATGATTCACACCGAGTATCGCTTTGAGGTCTACGTTTCTCGGAGGGCGAGCTTCAGAAGGAATTAGCATGGGAATAATGACTATCGAATTTCGTAATCTCACTATGCTTGCTCGTGGAGGCTGGCTTGTCCTGGATGTCAAATTTGGCGCCTACCATCACGGCACTGCACGACATGGAAGCTGCAACAGAGCCGGCCCTGCTGTAGTTTTCCTAACGCCATTCTTACCCCACACTCCCGGTTGACAGTGTCTCTTAACCTGCGACCACCCGCAGCAGCTCTTTCAAGACAAATGCGACCTCAAAATAGAATACCCGGACCCTCATCCAGAACGCTCCTCTGCTCCCACGTTCCCCCCCTTCCGCACCAAACACTATCTGGCACTGCTCAGCTCCTGATGGATATGGAGGCCAGTCTGGATGGCCGTGCTTCTGTCCGCCCTTCCTTCGTCCTCGCCCAAACATGCGCTTCACGGACAGTAACTACTCGTACTCCATTCAAGTCAGGCATCAGGCCGCTCTTCCTTGAAACTGACCCGAAAAGCCATCAAGGATATGCGCTTGGCCTACATTTTATTAAGCGTTGTTCATGCACTTACTCTTGCTAGCTAGTGTCTCTAGATGACAAGCTCTTTGGCTCTCCCGTGATGCCGGCTTTCTTCGGCATAAATATATACATTGAATTGCCAATTTATGAAGTCAATTCGGATACCATTTCTTTGTTTTAACTACACTGAAAGACTAAAAATCTGATGGATTCAAAATTCTTACGTTTCCTTTTTAATCGCTTGTTTTGGGTTAGAAGTCATCTATACAACACGGTTTCAAGGTTATTTAGAAAAGCCTCTTTGCCAGGCATTTCTAAAAACGATCGGAAACGACATGCAGTTCTCACAAATCTCTATCCGTCTGCAACGCAGAAGTCCAAGTATTGTGGTGAGGGTATATACCAGCTTGTTATGGGAAAACTAAACGCCCCAGAAAGAACAAGTGCAGAAAGAACAAGTTGAAAAGCAACCCCATACAGTATGAGATCACTTGTCAAAGAGACACTAGTATATGAGGATTGAAAGACCACTAGACGCTAGCTAGAGTGTATTCACTGGCGCTCTCCTCCAGCGCGCCACGTCTTGATTGCTTCCAGTTGGGCACGTACGGTGCGTGCTCCCTGTGCACATCATGAGAGCGGAAACGGTTTGGGTAACAGGAAGTATTCAAAAAAATTGATCATACGATAACTTATCGTAAGGTGATCGCGTACATATGCACCGTGCATGTCACAGTGCGTTTTTACTGGATGCTGGATGCTATTGATCAATGACAGCATACAGACAGTTACAGTCAACATCATCGAGTAGTGCACCCCCATGTAAGGTTCCAACAACATGCAATACTCGCATCTTGCACTAATGAATGGGGTCACACAAAATACTCATTTACAAGAGTCTGGCGCCTCTTGGAACGACTCTGCTCAGCTTGTGCAGACAGCAACGCGCGTTTTGCACAGCGCAAACGACGAACTGCACCCAGACGGAAAGGATCTGTGCAGTATGTAGGCAAAGTTAATCCGTTTACTGTTGAGCATCGCGGGCTTCGTCGACTTGATCCCTGTCTTGGACAGCTGTCTAGCAGCAATGCAAGGTATGATAACTGTGTTTACCGAAAAACCCCTGCATTACTCACTCGTGGAATTACTCAATTCGGCATTATTGAGTTTCTCTTAAGTCCTCACAGAAAAAAAGTTGAATCAAATCAAATTTTAAATCAAAACTCCACCAAATAAATATCAAAACAATCACTTTTTGTGGGCGGCGTGTACACGTGTGGGCTGTGGCAGTTTCTGCCTCGGCAGAAACTGCCATCTGGCTTCTGCAACGTCATAACCGAAGGGCGCGGCTTGGATTTTGTGGTTCCTCCCAGACAAGGCTGCCCCACAAGTAGGGCGCTACCAATAGGGCACCATTCTTCAGTAAAGCCGCCGTCGCCTCCCTCCACCGAGGTCGGGGACAGACATCGGATGAACTTGGTGTCACAGATTTGAGAGAAGTCGTTATCTTGACATGGGGGCATGCTGCAGACAAGTTGATGCTCGGTACGCTGACACTTGAGGTTGCCTTTCCTACTATTTGACAGGTCGCCGGAGACATCAAGAAGTCGAGCAGTGCGCTGCGACGTCTGACATGTTGCGTTGTCCCGTGAAACAGCAACTCAGTTTGAGAAGAGAAACCGGGACGCCGCATCGTTTGCATGATCTACATCAAAAGATTTAGTGTCGGCTACGATGCAGTTCATAAGAGAGCCTATGTACGAGATTACTATTTAACAGCACAAACCTCCAAAACCCCCGCCCCAACACAACACAACCTTGGCAATTAATGCCTTCTGGACCTTGTGGTCCTCGACACGTAAAGGGACACCAACCAATATTCCGTCTCCAGACGAGCGGCCTCGGCCAAGACTGACCAGTATTCCGTCTCCAAACGAGCGGCCTCGGCCAAGACTGACCAGTGTTCCATCTCCAGACGAGCGGCCTCGGCCAAGACTGACCAGTACTCCGTCTCCACACGAGCGGCCTCGGCCGAGAGTGGCCGAGGCGGCATGCGGGGAAGCAGAACGCCATCTCGCCGTGAGGTCGCGGATCGCCTACGTCGGTTGCGAAACGATTCGATGGCCCAGCCGAGGAAGGCGGCGAGAACGACTGTAGCCATGGCGGACAAGGCCCCGATGACGGGCTCTAGCCAATGCCAGGGGGCGTGTTCCGGTGGCTGGGCGGCAGGAAGCGGGGCGCCCGATGCCGGGGGTACGGACAGCATGAAGGTGAACGTAATGGCGAGGACAGGGAACTGGCAGAATTTATGGGCAACAGCGTGGAGCATTTTGGTTGTACTCTGGCTTGGGGCGTGTGAATTGGGCGTGCTACGGTGGGGTGTCGGCGATGGCTCCTTGGACGCGCGCTGCAGCATGACGGCGACGACGTCGCCCGAGGAAAGGTCGCGCGCCTCGTACTCTATGGCAGACACACCCATCCTAAGCTTCAGGCCCAAGCGATGCTGGTTGTTGAGGAGGAGTTTGTAGCGTCGTGGCGACGAGGACTTGAAGAATTGCAAACACGTTCAGAGGGGTTGAAAGGATTGTGTGGTTTTTTGGGGGCGGGGGAGGTGCGGTTGGTGCGGTGTTAGTACGGTGTTGGGAAGGTCTGACGGAAAGTTGGAGATACATGAAGGTGCGAAGAGGGTACGAGGACGGATTACTTATAGCCGCATTGAAAGCGGATCACATGCAGCAGGCTGTCGCTATCACAGCACGATAAAAGTCTCAAAGTGTAAAGTTGAAACCAGTTTTTTCCTTTTTTTTGGGGGGGGGGGGAAGTGTTTTATGTGGGAAGTGTTTTCATGCGTGTTGGGCGATGGTGGCGGGGATGAGGAGATTTAGTGGTGGTGGGACGTGCTCCAAGAGACATGGCTGTGTTGGGGGGGCGTCTGGTCGGCAGACATTCTACCGCACGGTAAATTGGGCGCATATCATACTAATTGATTTCATACATGAGGGACCAGAAAGGGGTGCCCCACCTTGCTGTCATCATCATGTAGCCGATCAGATGACGGGGGCCCCACCACGTCGATTGCACCTTATTTTTGGGGGGGGGGGCGGGGGGTGCCCAACTTTGGCCCAACAGAAAAGTTTGAGTGAGCGCTGTAGTACCCAAAATGCGAAATCGCTTACAAAAGAGTGTGTGCAGGAACGGTTCCCCACACCCTTGTTGGTTGTGACATGGGGGAGGCGGATTTGGGGAGCGTGCCGTTTCGTGGTGAGGGTTGGCCGAGTCGTGTCCCCCTTCCCCGCAGCGCCCGTCACCCTCTCTCTTTTATTTCTACGAAATTCCTTCCAGAAGCGTCCACGCATCCGGCCCGGATTCCGCCGGGCCGTCCGCGTGCGCTTCTCTAAAATTCAAATAAAATCTCGGACTACAGAATAAAATCTCCCTCTACAATAAAATGCAAATTTTCCCTAAAAATATCTCACATGACCCCCTCGTCAGGGCAGACCACGGGTCTGCCGTTGCACGTAAATATACTGGCCCCGCTTCCCGGCGTGACCGCTCTGGCCCCCCCGGCCACCGCCTCTCCACCTTCCACCGAACCTAGCTCCCTTCTATTTCATCCGCTCCACCGCCATCTTGCGCCGTCGAACTTCTAACAGTCAATTCCAAGCCGCGTTTCATCTGCGTCGCCCGAATTCCGGTTGCCCAACGTCAGCTTCGCGTCAGCCTCGGGCCAAGTGGTCTCCGTGTCGCCCGGGACTGTGGTCGCTGACGTCAATCGTCGTCTGGGACTCAGGCCGCGTGCTCTGCGCGTCGCCTGAGGCTCCGTTTCCAGTCGTTTCCGTTTCGGGACTTCTCGGAAACGCTCAGCGTCTCGAGCCGCGCACGGGAGCTCTGTGGTCCTTCGGGCGGTACTCCCTGTGCGCACTATGGCTCGAACCAAGCAGACGGCGAGGGCTTCTACCGGCGGGAAGGTACCACGCCGCGCTATCGCCACTAGGGCCGCCTGACATGCTGGAGGTCTGGAGTTCGACCCTCCACAAGAGTACCATGTTGTTTGTGAAATGGGGGAGGCGGTTTTGGGGAGCGTGCCGTTCGTGGTGAGGGTTCGCCGAGGAAATCGTGGCCCCAAATCCTCCCATGGCAAGGTAATTGCCTTGCGTAGGGGTTCTTCAAGCAGCAAACACTAATAGTTCATGCATAAGAAACGAAATCAATCTCAATCGCCTTCAATCTGGTACATGCGAAATAGTAAAATGCATCACACCTACATTAGATGTGCGGGTTTCTGAATAAAAGGGATTAAACGTCTTGCATGTATATCCCGTCGACTGTAGCGCAATCCCGGCGACACGAGTGTGTACCGCGGGTGCTTGGCTCGTAATACCCGGCATGGGCCGTAGTACTTCGACTCCCCTAGGGGCCACTTCTGTAACCCTCCCAAGGCTGCTCCTCGGGCAACCAGAACTTGATCGTGTACGTCGAACTGGCGTGGCGACACAACCGTCCTTCTCTTGCTCCTCTTTTCCAACTGTTTAGCCGCCCTCGTCGATCGGAGCGCCAGCGTCGCTAACAGTTCCAAGTTGCGCGCCTCTACGCCGCCCCACCGGATTTGGTTCAATTCGGTCTGGGGTTGCGCGGGCGGCTTTACTCCATATATCAGCTCAAACGGGGAGAACCCGTCCGACAGCCGGCGTCGGCGGTATCCGTACAGGATCTGTTTCAGCGCTGATTCCCACTTGTGGCTAGCGGCGCCCTGTCCCAACAGAGTCTTCCGAATTGAACGCTTGATGGTCCCGACCATACGCTCCGCTTTTCCGTTGGACATAGGAGCATAGGCGAGGACCGGTTTCCATGAAATTCCCTGTTGTACCATGAAGTTCTTCAACGCTGTCGCGCTGAAACATGTTGTGTTATCTGAGACTATGGTCCGAGGGGGACCAAACGAATGGATGATCTCCTCCTCCACGAACTTGACAACTTCCGAAGACGTAGCAGTCTCGGTTGCCCAAGCCAGGGGCCAACCAGTCAGATGTTCGACCGCTATCAGGACGTAACGTTTTCCGTTCTTCGTCTTGGGAAGGGGTCCCGCAAAGTCTATCGAGAATGTCTCAAAGAGCTGAGAGACTGGTATCACCGCCGTGCTTTTGTACGTCGGGATGGGCGCAGCCTTTTGGCAGCCTTCACATCCACGAACGTAGGCGTAGATATCACCATGAACTCCCGGCCACCAGTACCTGTCAAGGACGAACTGCTTCGTAGCCGTAGCGTCCCAGTGGCCAATGTCGTCATGCAACGACCGCAATATCTGCAGTCGAGTCCCCCGAGAAGGGATTGTTCTGATCCCATTCTTCATTCTGCGAAACAGCCTTCCGTTCCAGGCGAGGAACCGCCTGGAGTTCTTTTTGATTCTGCGCCTCTGCGCAGCATCTTGCTCAACCATCTCTTCTCCTTCGAGATAACGGTACGTGTCCCGCACATGAGGTTCCATGTCTTCCAGCATACCTCCTTTCGCAAAAGCGGCAGCACATACCAGGTCCCCCTCATCCTCCTCGCGGCTGCCATCGTCTTTTCGTAGACGCGAGAGAAAGTCAGCGGCACAATTCTTTGAGCCGGGGCGGTACAATATCTCAAATTCGTACTCCGCCAGGAAATCCAACCAGCGGGCAAGTCTACCGTGGATGTCCTTCCTTTTGAACGCACACTGAACCCTAGCAACCCTACTGTAGTCGATCGTAGGCTACTCGTAGTACGACCGGAGGACTAAGAGTCCAACTGCAGTGCCTCCGTAGTGTGCGTCCATACAGCTGTGCTCAAGTTACAATTTAGAGAGAAAATATGGAATACCGCTGTAGCATATGCGCAGTGCATTCGTAGTAGGGGTTAATATGCATGGCTGCTGTAGTGCGACAGCAGTGTCAGAACATGATTTTGTCCCACTTCGATGGGTGTGGGAGCAGGCAGCCGTGGAATTCGTGGAACCAACACGCGACTGCCCGCAAGGGGAGCGGTGTCATGCAGCTTACCTGTAATGGTAAAGGCGGATAGGCGACGCACGCAAGTGGCGACAGCTGTCATGGCGTCGTCGCGCCACATCTAAACCGGCAGCGCCTCGCCCGAGTTTCCGTTCTTACCGGCCCCTTTCCCACTCCGCACTCGTTCCTTTTGGCGATTATCATCCCCCTAAAGGTGACGCTGGTGCAATGAGCACAAGAGATCACATGCGGAGCTCCAGACGCCGCGAAGGGTACTCGCCCCATCGGGCGTTGTCCCCGCCGCGCCGCCGGCGGCACCTTCCGCTTTGAGCCCGACCCGCATCCCGACTGGTCCTCCCACCTCATCTGCGAACCGTCCCTCTCCGATCAAACCAGCGAGGACCACCACCACCTCTTCAACGCTCGCTTGGCCGATCTCATCTCCACCCCGCTCGACCTTACTAAGCCCCTCTGGCGCACCCATTTGTTTTCCAACTGGTCCATCTCGCGCGGTGAGTGCAACGCCTGTACCCTTGTCCTCCGCGTCCACCACTCCCTGGCCGATGGTGTCGGCCTCGTTAAGTATTTTCTGGCTACCGTTGTCGACAAGGACGATCATGACAACCCGGCTCGCCTTCTTGTTCCCACCAGAAGATCCACTGGAAATCCCGAGGTCCGCTCCGGGTATTTCACATGGATCCGAGACTACTTCCATGATATTGCCCGCATTTTCATCAGGCCGTTCTTCAAGGACCCAGTGTGCGTTCTCACCCGTGCCACAATGACGGAAAAGAATATCTGCGCGCTTGCGGCCCCCGAGCAAGTCACTGTGGCGACGCTCAAGCTCGCTGTCATGCAGCTCAATGTAACAATCAATGACTTGATGTTGGCTGCGTTTTCGGGCGCCGTCAGGGAGTACGTTACGAGGTTTGGGGAAGACCCGTCGGCGCTGAAGGGGCTGAATGTGGCCATGCCATTCAATTTGCATGTGTTTAATGAGTTTTCGATGAGCGATGTATCGAACCAGCTGCTGATGGTCCCTGTAGCACTGCCAGTACACCTAAGAGAGCCCACAGAGAGGTTGCTCGCGTGTCCCAAGTCGATGAAGCGGCTGAAGAGGAGCTATCAGCCGATTTTCGCGACTGTGGCCATGCGCCAGCTTGCGGTTTTGCCGGCGGCCCTTAGGAGAGGGATGTGGCATGTGGTGGCAAGCTCGGCGTCGGTGCTGTTTTCAAACGTGGCAGGGCCCACGAAGAAAATGCTCATCGGAGGTGTAGCCGTCGATGAGGTGTATTTTTTTCCCCCACCTGATGCGCATGTTGGTAGCGATATTGGTCTGTTTTCGTATGCAGGAAAGGTTTTTATAGGGGCGGCAGGGGATGCTAATAGATTGGCTGAACCGCAAAAGTTGCTTGATTACCTTGTAGAAGAGCTTTTGGGATTTTTTGAGCTAGGGAAGAGTGTAGCTCGTAGTGCTCCCATCGAACGATAACAAACAGAATAGGCATCTCTATATTTAAGAATTCAGCCCTGGATTTGCAGCTGCTGCACAACAACGGTTTTCGTTGAACCGTGATTGAAGGGGTTGGTGTCACGAGCAAATAGAGGTCCTGTGGTCATTCCACAGATTCTCTGATTGTGGGAAGGAGACATAGTCTTACAAATTGGAGGAATTGGAAACTATCCCCTGCATTGCGTATGAGAGTGCGATGATAGCGCTTCTGAAAGAACTGCGATTAAGGTCGAGGCATGTCCGATGATCTCGGGGATTGCAGCAGAACGCGGCACACCGTCTGAGAGTGCTCGATGGTCAAAAAAAATCTGTTGGGCTGAGAGGTGGCTAAACCCGTACAAACGTCACCAGAAGAATTGCGAAAGTCCATAGCAAGATTATTACACAGCAACTTTACTACGGGTCTTATATGCAGTCGTTAACTATAGACGTGGGAAGAATTTATCCTACCGAGAAGAAGCCCCGGTAGGATAGAAACTACTAGTTTCATCTCTTCTCTTGAACAGCACCTGTCGCAAAATAAAACATGCCTGACGATACCAGTGTGACATGGCGTGATGAGAATGTCACAACGAAGCGTCTGATTGACCTCTTTCGGCGTCACGCGTGAGATATACTGTACGTACAGCAATGTGACCTATACCATGACCTACGTCAAGTTTTGGATCCCGTTTTCCCGGGAACGAGCTTCATGCGAACAAGTCATAATGTGGACAACCCTCATACCAGGCTCGCACCTCTGCGACCAGACAGAAACACAGCGCGAACTAAAGTTTACTAGAACAGCTTCAAGGCTCTCGCGGCCCCACACTTTCTCGCAAACAGACGCTGTGTCAGCAAGCAGTTCCCATGCAGCGTTACCTGCTCACACGAACTGCACTTGGATTGGAACAGTTGTTGTAGAGGACACGGACTATCAAAATGTCAGAGGCTCAACGCAAAGAAGACAACGACACCTCTTCTCGTATCAACATCAATGAATTCAGACGAGTGCCGAAAGAGTCCAACCTGGAGAACTGTAGATTGCAAACTCCTCTTCCGCACCTCGACACGACCCTTGTCACCGACAGGAAGTCATCGCGAGGTTCCCGTGTTCAAGCAATTTCTTCGGCTGCACGTGCTTCGCGCCCCTCAAAGCTTTCAGCTATGATCACGCCGACGAATTCTGGCGTGGCTCACCAGATTCGAAGTGCGCAAGTGGTTCTGGATCCTGCTTCTGTCATTAAGGAGCTTCTGGAAAACGCCTTGGACGCCGACGCCACCCGTATCGATATCAGGGTCCGCGGAAAAGCGGCTCTTGATAGCTAGCATTGCTGTGTCAGATAACGGTAATGGGATACCACGCAACGATTATAATTCCTTGTGTCTCAGCGCATCCACATCCAAGATAAGGAACTTTGAGGATCTAGATTCAATCATGACGTTTGGTTTCCGCGGTGAGGCGTTGTCGGCGATTTGCGCTATTTCAAAGTCTGTCTCGTTTGTGATCAGGACAAAAGAAGACTCGGTTGCCACTTCCTTG